CCGGGGCCGCGCTCCCTGCGCGCCGCCCCCCGCCTGGCGCAGCCCCGCGGCTCCCGGCGCAGCCGCGGCCGCCGGGCTCCCTCTCCTGGGCGGCCGAGGGGTGGGCACGGACGGGGGCCGGCAGCCAGCCCCGCCGGGGCAGCGGCGGCACCGAGGGGACGGGACGAGACGCGCCCGCCCCGCGCCCCCCTCCGCGTCCTCCCCGCGTTCCCCCGTCGTTATCCTGCGGGCATCGTTGTCCTGCGGGCAGGCAGGGAGGGAGCGGGGAAAATCCACAGCCCAGGTTCCTGGGGCGTGTGGGTTCTGAGGAGCCGCATCCCCACTGACTCGTGCGGGTTCAGGCGAGGGCAAAAAGAGGGGACAAACACTGCGGAGTCGCCGGAGCCCCAAACGGGCACCCCCGAGGTGAACCCAGCGGCAATGGGACCTGCCGCTCTCTTCAAAACCATTTTTCTCCTTTGCAAAAATCCTTCCCGTTCAGTAGTAAGCACCAAAACCAGAGCGGTTATTCTTCGAATCCCTTCGTTTTCCACAAGGGTTTTTTCTTGCTTACCTTGGCTGCAACAGGCAGTGAAAGATGAACATGCTGATTTGCAGCCTTTGCATAGGAATCTTACCCCCCAACAATCAGAAAATAAATATAAAAGACATCACAGAGAGGTTAAGAAACCTCCTAGAAGAACAAATACTCTAACCTGTCAACATAAATTTCATGAGGCTCAGCACCAGTGAAGTTGCTTTTGTGCCAACTGGCATTTTTCATAATGCCAGTTAAAGCAGACACAGTGCTAAGCTAACCTTGACTAGTTAACTGAAACACTTATTTTCCTTTCTCCTTCTCTTTCTTTTTTTATAAATTTTAACTGCTTCTCAGCAAGTTCTCAGTCGTGTCCCCCCCCCCCCCCCCCCCCCCCCTCCTGCTTATTCTCCTGTCCTTTAATCATCATTCATCCTCAGAGGAGGGTGAAAATAGACAAGAAAATGAATCCTGTGCTGTTCGGTAATAGAGATCTCTAATGAAAGTCACTGTGAGTTTTCTCTTTCTATTTTCAAGATTTTTTTGCTTTTGTCTCCTTCTTGAGGCACCACAGGTGAGGCTTACTGCATAATATGTATATTCTGAAAAGGTAGCACACTCTTTTTTTTCCACAGAAACCCTGGGCTGAGGGGAACATTGCTGGGGGGAACCCGAAAGTCACTAAGCACATTTGATTTTACTTGCAACAAATTCCAGAGGCTCTCCTAAAATGACTCTCTGGATTAATCCAGGAGAAATCACAACTCCCGAGCACACAAAAAGCAGAATTTTCAAAGCATACTGCAGAGAAACACTGAGGTACACATTGCAGAGGAGAGACCAGTTTGCTCTCAAGCATCTGCTTATCAGCTCCATTCAGTGAACTCTTTAGTTCTTTTTTACCAGGGAGTGGTCTCTCCTCGGGAAGAGGCTGAATTCAGCACTGGAGGAATGTAATGCTGCTCAGACGAGTGAGGGTTTCAAAGTTTCATTTGACATTAATTTAACTTCCTACCCACTAAAGCCTGTAAGACTCTCACAGGCCCTATTTTTTTGGCAATTCAAGTATCAGTTTCAGAAGCCAGAGCCTGTTTCCTGTGTCTTCTTTAAGTTTGTGTGACCAGTTCAGGGATGAACAAGAAGTCTGGATCAGCCCTGACTGCACTAGTGCAGCAAAGCCCCTTCAGCAGCTACAGGGGTTTCAAACACCAGCAGTTCATACAGGGCACCCTGCTGTACTCATTTGTCATTTCAGCTAATTTATAAGCTTTTAAAACTTTCAAGACTTAATAGTCATACCCAGGTGAGGAACAAAAGTGAAATCCATTAAACCCCTATTATTATTTAAGTAAATTTAGTGGTGGCATTAGGAAGCTGATTGACATGACTCTGGGAACCAGTTACACGAGTGTTAGGTGAATTTTCCTTTTGCTGCTCTCTGACCAACCTGCCCTCAGCCAATACAAGAAGGATCAGCTCTCATCCAGGTCTGGACTTGCCTAAAACTGCCAGCAACAAGCTGTTGGTGCAGGTGTTTCCTGGAGATTCAGAAACAAGCACAGAGCTTTTTTAATTCTCCCTGGGTACCAACATAAAACAGCTGCTTAATTTTATGTCATGCTTTTCAATCACTTCTGACTGATGCTGGAATCAAAGCATGCCCACCAAAAGAAAGCTTTTGTGTCTCTATTCCCACCCTGTGAGGCAGCTGCTCCTGCCAGGGGACTTTGTTTGGAGAAGGTCCTACTTGGTCCATATGAAGATTTAAAAATATAATTTATAAATACTGAGTAGCACCTTGATCCAAATGACCTTCATCCAAACAGTAATTAGCTACTGGAAGACCAAGTCAGAGTTCCACAAAGCCCATAGCAGAGATTCAGAGTTAAAACATGCTTTAACCTAAAAAATAGTGCACACACTGGAGCTGGAGAAAGGCAACTGAATTTACAAAATATATCAGTACATGGATACAAACTGTACTTACATCATTCTCAGGGTGCTTTTTTTTGTCTGCATGCATGGGATTTATTAAACGTAAAATCAGCTGTGGCATGTTATCAGAAATAATGTCTAAAAGAGCTGTCAGGTTTGTAAATAGCTGGTTGTACTAATAAGCCAAGATAACTTCAGCCTCAATGTAACATTCTCAGGAAAATCAGGGGTTCCTGGAAATGAAAAGAAATATATGAACTCTTTTAAAGATCACTGAAGCACGTTGTTTAAATTGATATTATCATGTTGGCCATTCTACAGGGAAAACTAGAGTAGTGAATAAAAAAGCACAGAGCAAAGAATGGCAGAAGTAAAAACTATTATTAACATCTCCAAGGATCTCAAGATAAGTCTTGAATGATAAAGGTCCATCAGCAGGGAGAAAGGATCATTGAGAAAAATGATTTCTAGTCCCCAGACACTGACAAAGAGAGGCCTAAATATTCAGTATTGAGTGTGGGCACTTTTTTTTGACTGTAAATTATAGGCATGTCCCTCCGTGTCTGGGGGATTCAGTAGGGTTGATCTCAAAAAGCACATTAGTGCCCTTTTGATGTTGACTTGTGAACTATTTCCGATGGCAACCAGTGCACGAAGCATCCCCAGGTATCAATCAGGTCACTGGTGTGAGGAAATCTGAACACTAACAGGGAAAAGGAAAATGAAAAAAGCCCAGACAGAAACACCATGTATGAAAGTCTGAATTTAAATGACTCATTTGAGGCAGCCAATTCAAGCAGTGGCAAAGCTGGACACAGAGGGTAATGCAGGAGGGTATGAATGGGAAGGATTTGCTGTGCAGTGCTACTGCTTCCTGGGATCTGGAGCTCATGCACTGGCTGCAGGATGCTCAGGAGGCAGGACCAGGCAGTGCTGCTCCCCTGGCATCTCCCCTCCCAGGACACTCTTGGAGCTCAGCCCTGATCCCAGCCAGGAGAGCCCAACTCCATCCCTGGGCCACAGAGTTTGGAGACTGCAGAAAGGATTTCTGCTCTGTGGGAATCCAGCAGCAGCCTTTCAAAAAGCAGCCTCGTGTCACGCACAAGCTTTAGGAGTGGTGGAAAACCACTCCTAAACTCCTTGTTTGTAAAGGGGAAGGAGCTGTGTTCACCTGCCATCCCCTTCCTGCTCAGAGCCCCTTCAGGCTCTGGTCTCCTTTCCCTCCCTCACCACTGATCTCTCTCTACACCTGCAAATCCAGAGCAGAGCTGGGGCGTTTCAGCTGTAACCCCCCAGACTGTACAACAAAATGGCTCTTTTTGGAGAGATGAGGAAGACAGGAAAGAAAGAGAAGTACCAAACCTGCAGCCAGGGATCCAAGCAGAAGCTGTCACCTGAACAGTCCCCAGCCCCAGGAGCTGTGGGTAATTTCAGCTCGGTGCAATGCTGCCAATAACTGTGTTATTTAATCGGCAGAGCTTATGCAGTGACTTTTTATGGGGTTTTTCCAGTCCCACCCACTCACTCCCACAGGACCAGAGAAAGAAAAGTTTCCCACAAGAAACACTTGGAGTGACCTTCCTCTTGCAGCTCGACCTGCTCCATCAATGCAAAGGCCATTACTGGATCTTAAATCACCCTGGAAATTGCTCGAGCAGGGAAACCTAAAATTTCCCCCCTTCTCTTTCTGGGATTTCCATTTGCCAGAGATACGGGGTAGGAGAGGAATTACTGCCCTGCCAACACTTCCCTCCAGAGTGGGTAGAGAGCCAAACTGCAGAGGATGATGAGAATAAATTATAGCTGAGAGGAGAGGAGAGCTCTAAGGAAAGAAAAATGCTTCCTCTGACTGCCTCATCCCTGCGGCACAGCAAAACAGTGCCAGGAAATCCACAGCAAACTAACAAGACCCTTTCTTCAAAACCTAATCTACATCAACAAATACAAAATATCTCAAAATTTCTGATCATTTCACTGACAAATGTAGACACTGGATGTACTGCTGAATTTTGTATTCTAAGCCATGTATATAAAAACCCTACAGGGCTGATTGCTGAGGACCTACTATATGAAATGGCTCATAATCGAGTAAATCAACACAAAAATACAGACTGAGCCATTCCTTTCCAATTTAGGCTTTATTTGCATATGCTTTTTTTTTTTTTAATAGTGTATAGCTTTCATTTTTTCTTTCACTCCACACTGGACAGACATTTTAGGCCCTCAGAAAAAAAATTGAATATATGAATAAAAGAAAGTCACGGGAAAAAATGACAGCAATTTTCATGTTAAAGATGGCTTTGACATATTAATTAGTATCTCAGAAATGAAATAAAGCCAGTGATACAGAATGATTCATTAGAATGATATTAATCTGAGGAACAATTAATTCTGAGGGGATGGATAAAAAGAATACAAATAGATATATTAGCTGCAAAACTCTTCAGCAATGACTGTGACAGTGATTTCTAGCAGCAGTGGATGAGACTGTGGATAATACAATTTTCTCAGCAGATGGTTTGGTAGGTGGCACTCTCTCCTAAGCTGGTGTTACAGATTTACTCCTGAGCTGCCTGCCAGCATCAAATAGATCCTAACCCATATTCCAGCCCAGCCCCTGACTGTTGGATGGAAAACTGTTTAATAGAAGATTTGTGTGGTTTTCTGATGCAGGACGTGTGATGATGAAGAGTGTCCTTGGTACCTACAACAAGTGAGCAACAGTTTGCCCTAGAGCTGATTGTTAAATTCACATTATTACACATCCAGCATGGTCAGACTTCACAGCTTTGCCACTGGCAGGCTACAAATCCTTGAATTAAACATAATTAAACTAATACATACCAAAAAAAGAGAAGCATCACTTCTTGCTCATAGTGAAGACTGACAGCAGCATTTCAGACCTTCACTGCAGGGAGCCACAGGAGCCCAGCCAGGGCTCTCTGCATGGGGAGCAGCCCCAGGGTGCCCAAGGAGCACAGCAGGTCCAGCTGTGGTAGAGAGGGTCAACCAGCAGTCCAGCAATGACCAGACCACTCCAAATGTCCCACTCCTGAAGCTCTGTCTCAGGCAGCATTTTCCCATCTGCAGCTCCCCAGACAACCCTGCTGTGGTTGCAATGTCACAGTTCCACCTTCAGGTTCTGGGATTAAACTGTTCTCCAAGGCAAGATGCTGGTTGTCAAAGTCAAGTCACACAGTCTGGGTTGATGGCAGTCAGAAACATTCCACCAAGTTCAGTGAAACACTGGGACAAGAATCCAAACAAGAATCCATCCTGAGGTCTAAACTCTGGGCTGCTCCAATCCTCATAACAAACTTCCATTCAAACTTTTGAAAAACCCACTGATCCAGCTGGATTACCCCAAACTACGGTAAAATCCTAAATCCACTTTCACCCTAGCTCATCTGGTTATGTTATCCTGTTCCAGCCTCCGTGCCTGTCCCACCACATCAGGCAGGACTGTTTCATCCTACAACATGGGTAACATCTCCCTCTGCATCCCGCCTCGATGCCCTTGGCTTTTCCCTGCCCTGTGTTGCAAAGAGCCGTTGCTGACACAGCCTCTAACAGACAGTACTTTCCCAGGCTGGAAATGTTCCCTGAGTTTCACCATCCATTTGTCAACATTTGTCCCAAGGTCAGGGGCCTTCCAAGCCAGCCAGTTCTCCCTGCTCCCTTCCTGCAAAGCTCAGCTCCCCAGGGCTGGGCTTTGCAGGTCAGGGCTCAGCTTCACCAACACAGGCATCCAGTGTCTCTTCCTCAGTCCATCAAACCAGTCCCCTCCATTTAGGAGACACTAAAATCAGGGATGTCTTCTAGATACAAGTTCTATTTCAGGAAAGGCTATAGGATCTGTTCCTATCTACTTTCTAGTTTTACTTTTCCCCCTGCTCTTCACAGTGATTTTCTCCTGTGATTTTCTCAGCATTTTGTTCTAAGAATTTCCCCTGTGTCTTTAGGAACTATGGACAGCTCAGCCAGGATTTTTCCATTGTTTTCTTGCATCTTTCCATACTCAGTGCCAGCACAGTCATTAGCAGAAAAATCCAGCACAGTGCACAGGGAGTTCCACCAACCAGGGGAACCTCAGGGGAGCCAAGAGAGCCACCAGAGCCTGCGACTGATGGGACCCAACTGGGACCAGGAGCAATGGCCTCAAATTGCTCCGGGAGAGGTTTAGATCAGATATCAGAAAAAATTTCTTCACCCAAAGGGTTGTCAAGTCCTGGAACAGGCTGCCCAGGGCAGTGGTGGAGTCACCGTCCCTGGAGGGATTTAAAAGACACACAGATGTGGATCTTGGGGATGTGGAGGAGTGCTGAGGGAACAGTTGGACTTGATGATCACAGAGGTCTTTTCCAACCTAAATGATTCTATGATTCTATCTTCTTAGGAATTTCACATGCCTTTGTAGGATTTTCCTAGTGATCTCTGGGAATATACCCTCCAGCTTTTAAGGAGTTTCCACCCAGCTTTCAGGAAATTTCATGTTGCCTTCTAGGAAAACTCCCCACTGCTTTCCAAGTGTTTCTTTCCCCTTACCAGGAACTTAGATTTTCTTTCTAGGAATTTCCACATGCTTTCAAGAAATCCCTAATGACCTTCTAGAAATTTATCTGATGCTTTTTAGTAATCGTGTTCTATTTGTAAGAATTCCTTTCTGCTTCCAGAATTTCCCTTCTGCTCTTTAGAAATTTGCAGCAGCTTTCTAAGAACTGTGCATTTCTTTCTAGGATTCCTTCATTGCTTTATAGCAATTCCTCCTTACTTCATAAGAAATTCCCTCTAGCTTTCTGGGAATTTGTAGCCAATTTTCTCAGAATTCATATTTTGTTTTCCTGGAGTCCTCCCACAGCTTTCTAGGAATTCAGTTTTGCTTTCTAAGAATTTCCCATGGTTTTTCCAGACGTTGCCTGTAGTTCTGTAGGACTTACGTGTGGTTTTCTAGACATTTTCCATACCTTTATAGGAATTTCATGCTGCTATGAATCTCTCACCACTCTCTAGGCACTCCTATCACCTTTCAGGTATATCTATCGTGCCGTGACACAGTGTCAAGTGCTCTTCCAAGCTGTTTGTGCTGCTGCATGTGGTGACATGCTGTGTGCTATTCCAAGTTGTCCTGTGGTGTCTTGTTTTGTCATATGTTGTGCTGCCATGCCTTGTTCTCACCTGTTTGCTCGTGTTGCTGCAAGCGATGTCTTGTGTGTCTTCTGCTTCTGCATCCTAAGTTCCACCCCATGTGCCTGCAGGAATAAACATTTGAGAGTTCCTATTTTTAACTGCTGTTTTATAAAGCCATTAGAAAAACTCAGGAGCAGAAAGTATAAGGATTCAGCAATATCTGGTCTCTAGATGACGACGAAAAAAAATTGTCAAGTCTGGTTGGAGCAGTTGTAAGATCCTGTGGCTGTTCCATGTGCCCTATGGGATAGTCCTGCACCTCCTCTTGCCCCCACAGGTGCATATTGACATCCCAGATGCCTCAGCCTAGTCAAGGGTCTTGCTGCCAACAGCAGCTGGCACAGACGCACAGATGCTTCAGGGCACAGACGATCCCACAAGAGGGATTTATAAAATAGCCACATCATAGAGGAAATGGCTTCCTAATCCCCTTGAAAGGCTGGTTTATCCCTTTAAACATAGTTTTATGTCCCTTCTAAATGCAGATTGGCTTTTCATCTTCATTTTCTTCCATTCTTATCCAATATAACTATGCATCTAGAGAAACAGGAAAATTGAGTGTGCATCAGTTTAGCTTGGCACAGTATAGCATGAGTAACCTAGAGCTGAGTTCAAATATTGCAGATGGAGCCAAAACATTTAAGTGATTTTGTAAGTAACACTCTCTCAGCTTATATAAGAGTTTTATTACAATTTATATTGCCAAAAAGTGTAGTGTTACTTGTCCGTTTGATCAAATTTCCCAAGATAATAGTTTACTCCTTATCTGCTGAGAATGAAAAAAACGGGTGATGGTTTTGATATACTGGCACAGCCTCACAGGCATCTCTAGCTCATTTACAGAAATAATCCTTGAACTCTCCCAGACTGTACTGACGTCCTTTCCAATCTGGGCTTTGGATTTTCTACATAAAATTAATGTACATTACGTCAGGAGACCACAGGAAATGCTGTATATACATAGTTCACCTTGCCCAGCATTCTGCTCCTGATGGCAAAACCCAGCACAAAGCCTTCACAGGCACTTCCCATCAAGTGCTAATGAACAGTTCCCAGAAATGTTGCTGGTTTCTTCTGGCAAACCCCTGATAACGCCCAGCTTGGTGCCAAGGCCAGTTTCTGATACCATATTCCAGAGCCAGCAGCTGAATACATCCCAGTTCCTTGCACTGTACCTTCAGGAATGCCACCACATCATTCCCCACCTGCTCTACAACCACTTTTGTCATGGAACAGATAAGTCTTGACATCTCCCACACTTGTTTTCACTCTCTGACTGCACTGTTTATCATCCAGGGTTTGGAATTCCTGGTCCTGCAGTGCCACTTACTGGACATTTATGTTCATAAAATCAATGTGCAGCAGCTCTTCATTTTCTCCATTGATTCCCAGAGCCAATTTGAAATGGAGAAAACCAAAAAACACTAATGACCATTTAGGAATACAGGAGAGCTTGAGAAAAGCAAATACAGTAAAACTCATTTCTTAGATGAGGCAGTAATTATAGAGGAATAGAAATCCTCCTTTTCTGGTCACTGTAGAGAAGAATTTGCCCTGTAATAGTCTGGGAATTCTTCCAGGTGGAAACATGCGGATGATTAAATTCCTCCCTAGTTCAATAAATACACCTGGGGATTTGCAGGAATCTTATTAATATATTCCTTGGGAAATAAGGCAACTGAAAGGAATGCTTCAAAAGGAGCTGGGGTAGGGCTTATTTGATTAATCCAGTCATACTCTCTAGGCACATGTTTTCTGTATGTACCATTAGTACTTGGCTGTAATTTAACAAGGAAGACACTACACTCTGCATGAACCTGTAAGAAAACACACACGTGTGTTCACCCATGAGGTACTGACTGATCACATGAGACTGGCTGTGTAGGAGTCTTTTGGGGGGGGCAGGACTTTTGAAGAACAAGTCCACAATATTCAGATCAATGTGCTCAAAACCACATTCTGGCATCTGTCCCTCCTGATTCTCCAAGGTAGAGAGCTGGCTGGAGACCAAGGGAGCCCCTTCAGCCCACCCACCCGACCTTCTGCTCATGGAAGGCATCAGTCAGATCAGTACACCAGGCCTCAGTGTAGAACAGAAACAGGATCAGGCCAAAACCCCCATGTGAATCTGGGAGCTGGCACATCCTCTTAGATTCTGCATTTTTTAATACAGCCAAAAATATTATACTGTGAAAATTATTGCAGATGAAAAAACACATGTAGTCAGAGGTCAGATATTTTTTGTGACTCCTCAAATTCACCCATTTGCCTGGCAGTTTGTAGCTCATGAGCAATTGGTGGTGGTTGCTCAGAGCCATCTGAAAACTTTTCAGGATTCCTGGCAAAATATCAGATTTGTTTCTCAGCAATGGGAGAAAATACTCATCTAGTGAAAGAGAAGTTACATAGCTGTTCAAAACCATCTGCACTGAGTATAGAGCAAATTATTAACTAGAGGAATTAATGCAGCTTTGCATGTACAAACTCAGAGAAAGAATTTAGGTATTCATACATCTACATTAGAAAGTCTGCAAGCAGAATTTCAATTGTAAAATGCAGAAACGACCCAGGTGTGCTTTTAAAGCAGATTAACAAGTTAGTATCTTTGGCATATAAGAAAATCATTAGAGGCAGAACACATCAGTCCTCAGAATGCAAACCATATACCACAACACCAGTTATACCCACAGACAACTAATTTATTTCTGTGCACGACATCCAGCTGTTTCCATTTTCTGAAGAAGGTATCTTTCCTGCTCAGTCATTGCAATGTTTTTAGCAACAAGTGTTATGGACGGATACCATCAAAGATATATTCAGTGTTGGATCTGTCAGTGGTCGTGGAGACTGGGATGTGCCTGACAAGATTAAAAAGAATTACAGACACTAGCAGGGAAGTACAAAAATTGTGCACAAATTTTGTCGTGCAAGAAAAATGCAGTGCAAGGGTATCAGTGCTAGTTTTTACTCTTTCATGATGGACTCTCATGGGTCGGATTGGCATGGTCTGAGCCATGCTGAGCTGGGTGGGGACCTGTCAGGTTGGTACTGGTCGGTACTGGTCGGTACTGGTCAGTACTGGTCGAGTCAGGTCCTGTTGAGTCAGTACTGATCGGGTCGGTACTGGTAGGTCCTGGTCAGGTGGGCACTGGTTGGGTCGGGTCAGTACTGATCGGGTCTGGTCGGCACCCAAAGGAGCAGTGTCATCCCGCAAAGGGCACTCCTCACGCCCGTGGCAGCTGCAGGACAAGGTGCCCACCCCCATGATCCTGCCCGGGCTGACCCCCTGCCCTCCCCATGGCTGTGGCCGTGCCCCTGCCAATCCTAGAGGTGCCTGATCGCATCCCTGTGCTCACACTGTGCCCCTGCCAGCCCCAGGGACAGTGTCACCTGTCATGACATGTTGAGTTACAGACCGTGGGCATGAGGCAGGAGGTTGCACAGTACAGATGTGGACTTCAGGAAGTGAAAGAGGAAAACAGAAGGGTTGAAATTCCTGAGTGTTTCTACTGTCACAGCAGCCCAGCCACCCCTGGGAGTAACAGAAAGAAGGAAAGTTACAGTGGCGAGGCCACCATTTGTCCCAGTGCCGATTTCCTCTTCCACAGCTGCATCCAGAACATCAGTACTGGGTACCAGCAGCTTTGAATTGCTTAAATAGAGATGAAGACACATCCTGCCCTGAAAAACATGGACAAAATAACAGAACCACAATGTGCAGATTAGAGTGTTGCTGCTTTGAGCCTGGGAACAGGCTGAGTCCAAGAGAAAAGCAACAGTGATGCTTTTATAGGAGCACTGCTGCCTTCCCAGTGCCTACGTCAGACACCAGGGTTATGGGTTGTGAACCCAGCTGAGGAAGGGATGTACTGCTTGAGTGTGAGCAAGCCCAGCAAGGGAGTGACAGTGACACGTGGATACTCCTTATGTGGCTGGTAACGCAATTTTTATCTCCTCCTTTAGGGGAGAGTGACGTGATAAGGCCTCTTGTACTTGAGCAACCTTCAAAGCAGCCTCCTGAGCTGTTGGTGCTGTCCTCGCACAAAGCAGTTTATTGTCATCTCATCGCCAGGTTTGGGGTCTTTAGTGTGGCTTGGGTTTCTAATAATAAACCTGTAACAACAATCCAAATCCAGTGCAGCCTGGAAGAGACCGAGGTCAGACCTCATCGGGGTCTGCAGCTTCCTCACGAGGGGCAGCAGAGGGGCAGCTGTGACCAGGGACAGGACCTGAGGGAACAGCCGGAGCTGTGCCAGGGGAAGTTTAGGCTGGATGTTAGGAAAAGGTTCTTCTCCCAGAGGGTGGTTGGGCTCCCCAGGGAAGCCTGATACAGCTCAAGGAGCATTTGGACAACACCCTCAGGCACATGGTGGGATTGTTTGGGGTGTCCTGTGCAGGGTTAGGAGTGGGACTCTGATGATCCCTGTCGGTCCCTTCCAGCTTAGGAGATTCTATGGAATAATTAATGTAATTAACTGTGAGAGAACCGTGAGACTCTCCGGTCAGCTCCGGTGCCCCAGGGGAGCTGGCGGTCGTGCAGAGGGCGAGGCTGCCCTGGGCGCTGCCCGCACGCCGCGGCCCTGCCGGGCCCTGCCCCGCCGGGGCGGAGCGAGGCGGAGCCGGGCGGCCCCGCCACCTCCCCCAGGCCCTCGCCCGCGCCGCCGAGCGAGGCTCTTCCGGGCAGCGGGGCCAGGGCGGCGCGGGGCCGGCGGCCGCGGTGAGTACCGGGGCCGGGGATGGGCCGCGGGCGGAGGAGCCACTGCCGATGTCACCCCCACTGCTGTACCGCCGGCTGGGCGGGGACACAGCCCCCCGTGTCGCCTCAGCCCTCTGCACAGCACACCAGCCCCGCGTGTCGCCCCATCCCCTCCACAGGGGACCAGCCCCATCGGTCTCCTCTGTCACCCCGGCAGAGGCCCTGATCTGTTTGTCACTCCTGTCCCCTCCACAGGGGTCCAGCCCCATGTGTCATTTTGTTCACTCTGTGGGGGTCTCTGCTCTGTACCCCTTCCCCTCCACAGGCACCCAGCCCTATCTGCCACCTCAGTTCCCTCCATAGGGGACGAGCCCCCCATGCCACCCCCTGGTCCCTCTGCAAGGGCCCAGCCCCATCTGTCACCTCTGCTACCTCTGCAGAGGCCCTGATCTATTTGTCACCCCGTCCCCTCCACTGGGTCCGGCCCCATGTGTTATCCCATCCCTTCCGCAGGGTCCCAGCTCCATGTGTCACCCTGTCCTTATGGAGGCAGGGCTGGGCACTGGCAGTGCCACACAGCACTGTGGGGCTGCCTCCTCCCTGCACACATCTCAGCTCCCTGCTTCCCCACCTGCTCCCAAAATCTCCCCCTGACCACTCGCTGTCCCCTGAGCATGGGCTCTGTGTCACAGGGATTGCGTGGCAGCTGCACAGATCCCAGGCCTGCAGGATCGTCCTTTCCAGGGGAGGAATACACCAAATAACTTCAAGGTCAGATACCTGATAGCCAGAGATAGGGATTTTAATTATGAGTATTAATATTTTTATTTTTCTTAATTATAAACAATTTATTTTTATTATAATGGGAAGGGGGGGGTGAAGACTGGCTTTGTATCACTGCACAATTAAAAAATCACCCATATGGATCCTGTTAGAAAAAGATACATGAAATAGTGAAAAAGTACAGAAGAGGGCCATGAACATGCCTGGGTAGAGCCAAACCTCCTGCAGTTTACCGGTGGGGGTGTTAGAAACTAAGGAGCAGAAACAAGCTTGCAGCGATCAGAACTGAAATAAGAGCTTGCACTAACCCTGTTTAACAAAGAAGGTTTATTTTTCTGAATGTGGAGATGGACACGTGTCGTGTCTCTGTGATCTACCTCATGTTTGATGGGGATGGGAAAAGAAGTGGCAGATTGAAAGCCGACACTGCTGAGTTGGCTGCAGGAGCCTCTAACATCTGGAGGTGGCTTTAGTGCAGAATGACGAAATCTCTGGTCCAGTTACACACCAAAGATGGCTCCTGTTTTGAGGAGAGAGCCCCAGCAGCAGGCTCGATCCGTTTCACCCAGGCTGCTGCTTTTGTTGCTAGGCTACAAGTGGGATGTACATTTATAAGCAAAAGAAGAAAAAAAAAAAAAACAAGTATCTTGTAGTGTTGCCATGATTTGCCTTCTCCAGCATTTCAGTTAGGATTGCAATAGGAAAAATCATAGTGCAGACAAAGATGTTTTTTTTTCCTCTGGTGATTTAAGTAGGTTTTTGATGGTAGAAGCTGCTTTGGGGAATGAAAACTTGGCAAGTGGCTTTGTTAACATTTGGTGTAAGAACATTGCATCATACTTCTCCCAGTCATCAGCTGTGCTGCTTATTTCGAACTGTGGCAGCAAACTATTGCAAATAGAGGAATACCAAATACCATTGCTTACCAACCCTGGTAAGTCTGATATGTGCTCTTTAGCCACCACACAAAAATGCTTTTTTTCCCTAGAAGTTCTTCTCATTTGAACTAATTAACTGCCCTGACTGACATCCCTGGAGAAGGCCTCGTCTTCGTTTCTTTGCCAGAGCAATTAAACTCTGGGTAGTAGCTGGGTTTGCCTTTCCGCTGTTGCTTTGCCAATGTGTTGTAGTTTTAAAGTAGAACAAATCACCTTTTACTAATGGGAGGGTGGTTAATCTCCTGTCTTTTCTCCTAAGCCAACACAGCAGCCATTTGGGTGGCCATTGAGGAAAACTGGGCATTGGAAAAGAAAAATCTGAGTTTGTTCAGACAAAGGAGCCCCCAAAAAGAACATTGTGTTATTTGAGGAATAAAGAGGCCTAACAAGACCTCTGAGTATTTCTCTATAAAAGCAGCATGCAAAAGCAGGGAAATGTTTCCAAAGAACTCAACTGTGCAAAAACAAACAACAATTTGGTGCAAGGGACACTTTGCTAATAAACATGTTGGAGGAAGAAGAGCTGTTCTTCTCCCCATTTTATAGCAGCAAGTACTTTTCTCAACCTCAGGGGTTTCCAGCCTACATCTCATTTTGCAGAGCAGAGCACGGATAGCTGGACATCAGGCTGTTAAGGCACTGCTTTGAAAAATAGAGATTTAGGGACCTAAGTGTGTCAAATCTATTTTTTCTCTCTCCCAATGAGTCTGCACATAAAATGTCAGCAGCATCTGAATCTAACTTTTGAACTATTGCTATAATAAAGAATCCTAAAGAGTTCTGTTAAGAAAGAGGTAATGCTGTTACCTTCTATTTTTACTGGATTTTCAGGGAAAAGCCTGACTCTCATTTTTTTAAAAAGGAATTCTTAGTTACCTCTAGGAGATTTTGTGAATGATAATCTGATCTGAGCACCTTTGCATCACCTGAACTTAGGGATCTGAGTCCTGGTAAAGGTCACCACACAAGTTATACCTTTCTTTCACTATTTGTGTTGGCTCACTTGCCCTCCTGTGTGCAGGCTGGTTAGAATTCTCTTTTAAGCCGGAATACCCAGCACATTCCATGTTTTGTAACTGAGAATTGCAGGTTATAGTTTGGGAGTTTGTGAGATGTCACAATATGCATTATCACAATTATATCTGCACTACTTGTGGATGTAGAATTCTCTTCAGACTTCTCTCTGGGTTCACAGTTACATCACCATGAAATTTCTTTTTCTGTCACCCTACTCCCAATTTTAGCTTAGATACTGGAAAGAACTGACAAAGTTTCTTACTTATGGAGTGCATTTTTTTCAAGGCTGGGGTTAAAATACAAGGTGTCAGTGACACAAGAAAATATAAATGTTTCCAAGCAGGGTAGCAAAGCTGCTTTTCATCATTTACGTGCTGCTGCGTGAATTCAAGTTGCCCAGAATTTCCAAGACCATGTGCCCATCTGGATTTTTCAGTCATGCAATACAGTTTATAGATGGTATAAAAAAAATGATCAAATGTCTGAGTTGTTCAAAATTGTGTGGTATGTTACTGTCTGAAATATATTAAATAGTAATTGCTACTCTCCTAGCTGTTGCTTTGATTTGAAAAGTGGTTGCGTGACCTTCAATGGGATGTTTAAAACGTGAACTTTGAAAAGGAACTGCA